CGGGACTGGGGGGCGCTGGGCGGCGGGGGCGCGTTCTCCCTCAGATAACTGAAAAAACGGTAGCAAAGGAGCAGCCGAGGTCTCCTCTCTTCCCTCGCTCCGCCGCGGGCTGCCGGGAAACCCGCTTTGTGCGGGGTTTGCGCCCTTGTGGTGACGCGGTCTACGGGCTCTGTGTGGGCTGGCTTACGGGAGTATTGATTTTCTTAAACAGATTTTCTTTTTAGCTAAAGGAGGAAGCAAAAACGCGTTAGAAGGACACGCAGCAACGGTAGGTATCGAGCATAAACGTTCATCTTTTATGACAGTGTGGCTGCTGTGGGAAATGCAGGGTTTTGTCAGCCTGTGGGAGTGCTGCAGTAGCAGAGGTTGGTAAATGCTTCCACAAATGCTGCTGTAAGGCTCAGCAGTAGGGGATGCTGCTGTGTCCTGGACAGGGTTTGTGTGCTCCTGTTGCTCTCTCCTTCCCTGCTCGGTTTCTTTGTGAACTAAATCATTTCTCTGAGCAGCAGGGAAGCAGTGAAGCACTTGTGCAGCTGCCAGGTAAAGCAACTTAGTCCTGAATGGCATGGTGACCTCAGGTGCTGTCACCTCTAGAATAGCGTGAAAAGTCCCAGTTTGAGCACAACAGAAAACACAGGGATTTTTGCTATGAAATAATTGGGGGCTTGCTTTACAACTTTGACTTGGCAGAACTATGTGCTGCTGATAATCCTAACGGTGTTGTGACTGGTTTAAATTTTAGGCAAACTTGGAAATAACAGAAATGAACAAGTTAACAGAGGTTATCCGGACCCCTTTAAAAACTGCCAAGAAAGGTCAGTTTGTTTTAAACAATGTGATGAGCTCAGTGAGACGAAAGCATGGCCTGGTTTACAGACTGTGAATAATAATGCAGTTCCCTCAATATATTTAAAGTCAGGGGGACAAAGTCCTGCTTTTATCCCTACTAACTGCAGTAGCGCTACTTATTTTTATTAAAACACTCAAAATAATTCAAGATTATTCTGTCAACCATTTAGATTACATCAGAATTCTGATTTCAGAAGCAAATTTTTGTCAGAAATGCTCGTAGTTGTTTACTGTTTACCTTCAGTGCTAAGTAATAATTTAAAGTTATTTATTTTCAACTTGGATAACACTATCTTCCTAGTGCAAAAATCCAAACAGAATATTGAAGCTATTGAGGAAGAAGTGGACCCTCTGTTGCTTCCTGTAACAAAGAAAGCAAAATACGAGAGCCAGGGTCTTCCAGAGCCAGACACTGAAAACATGAACCCAAGGATTGTAAAGGTAAATACCTGCTCTCTGTGGGGACTTTGTTCCCAAGATATAAACTGCTCGCTGGGATGGTGCCTGTGGTAACGTCGCTGTGCAGGATGCTTTGAGAGGGGCTTCAAAGCAGGTGCTGCTCTCTGAACCTTCTGGTGGTGGGGGGCTCACAGACATGTGGTGTCTGCTGCTGGGCTCTTGTGCCACAAAGCAGCCTGCTGAGCCACACGGTTTGTACGGCCGCGTTTGCTCGTCGTGGGCTCGGCCGTCACTCAGGGTGAGGTAACTGATGCAGTGAGCAATGTGTGTTTCAGGGGAAGGCGTCCTCTAAAAGAGTGCCAGTGTCCAGGAGCAGAAGAGCTCCCTCAGGCGGGGGGCGGCGCATGAGCAAAAGGTACTGGGGGCATCTTTGCCACTGGATTTTGGCAGTGGAGAATGAGTGTGCAGTGCTAATGTTGCTCTTATGTGGAGTGGAACGTGGTTTAGCAGACTCGTTGATGTAGTTGGGCTATGCTGTTGGGGGGATGGAAAAGCAGTGACCTGGCAGTGAATGAAAGGTGGGCGGCTTCCTCTCCTGAGCTTTGGGGTTTGCCTTTATCAGTCAGAGCCTCTGGGATAACCTCACTCAAGTCTTTGATAAGAGAGCCCTTGTGCACTTGTTAAAAGTATTCTGAGCAGGTGTTTGTTTATTTCTCTTTAACAGATCAAGCAAGAACAACTTTGTCACTCCAGCCACTGGGAGAAGCGTTGCTCTCTGTGCTCAGGCGGGTACCTCCATGGTCACGCCCAGGTTTGACGCCAGGTTTGTTTTCTGTTAAATTCCTCTGTTCAACTCTTACACAGGGGGCACCTTGCCGCTGGTTTTACGTATGTGGCTGTCATCTGTTTGCAACTTAATCCTTGAACCTGAAATGAAGGACTTTGATAAGTGCTTTGAACCATTGCGGTGGAGTTACTTACCTATGACTCTTTGTTTCAGGATTTTCAAGACGCCGGGTTTGCGCACGCCCGCGGTACATGAACGTGTTTACACCGTGTCTGCCAACGGCAGCCCCCTCGCTAACGGCAACGACGTCTTCATTTCGATCCCTGTTGGAGGAGGAGAGGTGGATTGGAAACTTCCATCTGTAAAATCTGTGCTGTGACTTCCTGGGGGCTTTACCAGTTTCGGGTCATCCATGTGTGTCAAGTTGTCCCTCTGCAGTTTATCAGGGGCTTGGTTGAGCTTAAAAAGAAACATTTTTCAGTCAGAAGTGGGTGCTGCTCGAGCTGGCCCAGGCAGAATGTGGAATGATGCTTTGCTGTGCACTTCAGTAACGTTTAAAGCAGCTTCTGCTGGCAGGGATGTGTTGATGAGCTGCAAGGAAAGTATGAGGGGAGAATGTGTGTGGGCTCCTGATGTGCTTGGATTTTATTCACTTCTTATTTTCTGGATTTTTGCTGCTTCTGGCTACTACAGCTGACCAAACAGAAAAACTAATATGTTGGGGTGTTTTTTCCTTCACAGAGCATTTGTTTAACAGCAAATGATTTGACCAAGAAGAACCTCCTGAACCTGAACCTGGAGACTCGAGGAATTATGAAGCACCTATCAGTAAGTCTGTGTAATTTTGTCAGCCGTGACCTGAGGTGCTAAGGCCGTGTTGTCACCCTGTCAACAGTCACTGCACTGTGGAGCTGTAATAGAAAGCCTTTATTTTTTTCCCCAACTTGTCCTGTGTGTTGGCTCACGTCACTGGTCAAGAAGTGTGGCTGGGGAAGGGAAGGGGGGAGGGGGTGTAGCTCTACATCACCTGATCCAAACTGGGCAAACCTCACACTTGGAAGAGATCTATTGTCCTTGTTCTGAAAAACTGAACTAAAACAAAGTGTCTGCTTCAGGCAGGAGCTGCAAGGGGTTGTGGGGTGCAGGAGTGAATCTTACAGCACTGGTTGACTTCTCTTTCTTTCCAGGTTCGTCTGGCCCAAGCCTGCAGCAATGCAAAAACCCAGAAATAAAACTCGGTCCATGTTGATGTAACATCCTGTGTTTACAGAGGGACACTTGGCACTGCACTTGTATCTTCCTTCTGATTTTTGTCTTCTGTTAATGTACAGGATGGATGGAAGTTATTAACTGATTTTTACCATATGTAGTGAGATTAGAATAAATCGCTGCTTTTTCTAATTTGGGGAAAAAAATCACCTCATTTCCTTTAAGCTTGAGCCCAACATACATCTGTCCTGGGCTTGCAGAAACGGCTGCTGTGCTGTTGTCTGGGCAAAGCAAGCACTGGATCAGAGTGGCTGCACTTCCAGCCACCTCCTTTCTCAGCTTCTGAGAGATGTTGGCAGCTTCCACGTCCTGACTGTGGGTGGCAATGTTGTAAACTACTACGCTACAAGTACACTTGCCTTGCTGCTGTTGGTGAATTGTTAACATATTAAATAAAAAAAAAGGTAAACAGAACTGTAACACCTTTGCTCACAGATGTGTCAGTGTAGATTCTGTTTTACACACTTCTTTACCAGGAAAAAAAACACCCTAGAGCACTTTGCTGAAGAGCTCTTCTGCTAATGCTGCCTGCTTTTAAAAGCTGTGGAGGTGCTAAGGCTGTGTATTTACACTCAGCCCTTTCTGCCCCCTGTCTAATGCTGGGTTTGCTGGTACTCATTAAACCCAGGATTTAATGTTTGGAGCTGTGAGCACTGAGGAGGTGCTGAGGTCCAGCAGCAGCTGTGAGCCTGTGTTCCTGGTCTGGAGGATGAAAGGCCATATGTGCTGTTGGGGTTAACACGTTATTTCCATCTATAGCAAAAGCTTGCCTGTGAGATAGTGTTTAGCAGCTGGAAGAGAGAAAGCAGCAGCATCTGCAGGATGCAGTGGGGCTGTGCCTGAGTTTTGGTTCATCCCTGTCTGGGTCTGTGCTGAATTTCAGTGGAGGTGAGGTGGCTCACAGTTCCCCTTGCAGAGGTGCTGCTGAAGCACAGCATTCCCCATACAACCAACAGCGCTGTTAACGCTCAAGCTTCCTTTTCCAGTTGTCAGGGTGAGTTAATTGTGTCTGACAGGAATTAAAGCTGTCAGGCAGCTAATAGTGAAGCAGATCACATTTTGCATGCTGCCTGCACCATGGGCAAGCAGTACTTCATTTTCCTGCAGTTTTATTGCTCATGTACGTTGTAGGCATCGCTTCTGGCCCTTTGCATAGCACATGGCAGTTGTTTTGTTTGACAAAGCCAGAGCCTCCCTCTCCCATTCAGTTTGAGGGTTATGGGGGCAGCACAGAGGAGCTGCCTGGCTTCTGTGGATGTGGGGAAGTTTTGGAGTGAGATCTCTGAAGTTCAGCCCAAATTCATCATGGAAATGTGAAACCGTTAATCTAGAGAAATAACGAGCAGAGCAGGGACCCAGCGAGGTGCCTTCCCCGGGCTGTGCTGACATTGAACCTGCACAGGGACGGGCAGGTAATGATGCTCACCGGGCTCCTCCAGGCACTTTGATGGATGGGCGCTATCAGGCGCTGTACACAAAGCAGGCGTTTATCACCACAGACACCTTGCAGGCAGGCACTGATTCGGTGACATTGTAAGAAATGAACAGATAACGATTCCCTGCTCTGGGATGCTGGTTCGGAGGAGTCGGAGCAGTCTCGAGGCAGCTTCTTCTTGCGGGAGGTTTTGCTGTGAAGGTGCAGGGCAGCACACGCAGCCCCTCCAGCTCCTGCGATTCCACTGAAATCTGCATTTCCTGGGCCAGCCAAAGGTGTAACGAGGGGAGCTCTCAGCACTGAAAGGTTTGCAAATGCAAAGGTGAAATGCCCCTGCCTTTTTGGTGGGTTCAGCTGAACGGGCTCGGTCTCCAAATTCCATGTTCAGTTGCAGTGTCTGCAGCTATTGGTAAGGGTGTTCTGCACACCAAAAATGCATCCATTTGTGAGCTATTTCGAAAACACAGGTAAATCTTGGGGAAATGACAAGAAAAATGTATTTTCAAAGAAGAGAACCTGGGAACAGATGTGGCTGGACCTGGCTGTGGAATTGCGGGGCACTGCCACTTGAGTCCTCTTGAAACACAGCAATGGGAAACAGAGCTTCTGGGTGTGGACTTCGAGCAGTCTCATCCTCTGCTCTGATGAGACCAGGGATGTAATTCTCTATTTATCTCAGAAAACGAGTGCCCATAAGCCACAGAGCCTCACACGCCTCTCACCCAGAAGCTTTATTACACTGAAAAATGGGATTAGGCAAAATCGCTAATTTTAACATTGCATATGGAGACCAAAATACCAGGCACCCTCCCTGCCTCTCCAGGGAAAGATTTATTGCCTGCTACCATGTAATTAATCTAATTTCCCTTAATGAGGGTGAGACAGTTAATAGGAAAGTCATATCCTGAAACCCGGTTGCTCCCCTCAGCCCTCGCATAGGAAGATGCCGCTGGGCTCGGGCTTCTCCTGTCCAGGGGTCTCAGTGGGGGACGTGGCCCTGGGTGTGCTCAGCGCGTCCTGAGGGTGCAGATGGGGGTGTGGATGAGGGTCTGGGGGTGCAGATGGGGGTGTGGGGGCTCTGCCAAGAGCACATCGAGCTGCAGCCACCGTTACCTTCATGAAGAGAAAAATCTCTGCACGCAGAACTGACCAAGAGCAGCTTTCAAGGTAGAAATCAGCAGTCACCAGTTGCGGGTCGGTCTTATGGGGTACAAACCCTGCTGGTTTTGCAGGGCTGCACTGAGCCAAGGCGCTCCATACACCACTGTAAGTAATTAATGTGCTGTGAGGTGACGACTGGCGATGTTCACACCCCTCGGCGGCTGCTGTGACCCCGTGCCTGGCTGTGAGCTCAGGAGCCTTGAGTGGGGCCTGGACCTGACTGCAGCCCCTGGGATGGGGATGGGATGGGATGGGAATGGCCACTGGTCCTCGGTCTTGGAGCTCAAAGCCGTGCTCATCCCCACGTGCATCACTGGAGCCCCGCACTCCTCTGGCACCCCCATCCCATCGGTGTCTGTTGCTCCTTTAAGGCTGGGCCATGGTGGGGATGGCTCCTGGTGAGCAGTGACAGCAGAGCCCGTCTGCTGGTACAGCAATTAATTAATTAAATCCAACTCGAGAGATTGTTTCTTTGGTCTCCATTAGGAAGCATTTCTGCTGCCCTCTTCCCAAACCTCCCCTCTGCAAAGGGTCTCAGTTCACCTTCACGAAAAGCGCTAATTGTGGCGTGATTTGGTGTGATGAGCGTCTGCCAATGACACCCTGTGTGAGCAGCCAGTGGATTTTTTCCAGCGCTGCAGCGTGCGTTAGCGATGGAGATGAACCCTGCTCAGCACTGCGTCCTGAGCACGCACACGACGGGGGCAGAGCTGGATAAGGGGGCTCTGTCTGTGCCTCCAGGGGACTTCAGCTCATCCCCACACAGACGGGGCCAGACCCCAACCACCGCCCGCGTCCCCTGCAGGACACATCCCGGTGCTGTGCCAGCATGGACAAAACAGCGACCGGGCTCTGCCTGCCCGCTATAAATAAAAGCCCTTGCAAGAGAGAACCAGTTCCCCTTTCCCTCTGGGATGATGCCAATCCATAGTAATCCCATTATTGCTGGCAAATAACCCCTCCGGTGGCTTTTCGCTTGCTTGAGGCACCAGGCATCTCGCTGTGAATGAATTACGGGTTCATTTTCTCATCAAGTATCCGACTCACCTGGAAATGAGGGGGGCCAATGGCAAAGGGAGGAGGGAGGAATCTTTAGGGACAAAGTCTGATGTTAATACCCAAAGTTAATTGCCAATTGTTTGGAGCAGGATTGTTGGAGCCTGTGGCTCGTTCCCAGTAACACCACGTCCCTCAGACACCTCACCCATCTGGCACTGCCATCTGTCCCTGCAGCTCTCCCGGCCTTGCCCAGGCTTTGCTGTCGGGAATTTCTCCGTGCAGAGGATGGAGCCCTGGGAAGGGGCTGTGGTGTGGGACGGGGGCACCTCGGAGGTCCTGGTGCAGTACAAGGGATTCGGTGACAGTAAAGGGGCTCGTAAAGCCACTGTGGAGACCGAGGGCCGTGCAGAATCGCTCGGCTGTGTTTGTGCAGCGCCCAGACGTTTTATGGTGCCATAAACCCTGCGTGTGGGCTGGGCGGTGTAAATCCTGCCCCAGCGACAGGGCCACGGCGCAGGGCGAGATGAGCTGACGCGGGCACCGTGTTGCCGTGTCCTTGGTCTCACCCAAAAGAGATTTATATTTTGCCGAGTAGACAACTCTGGGCTCCCAGGACATGGCTGATGCTGCAGCTCCACCATCCCGGCCACATTCACTGTAACAGCGCCGGGATTTGGCCAGTTTCCTCCACATCCCAGTCCCCAGGCCCCGGCCTGGAGCGGCCACCCCAGCTCCCCCTTTGCCGGGTGCTCAGGGCTCTGTGTGCAGGGAGGTTGCTTGTGAAACTGGGGTTTTGCCCAATCCTAGAGTGGTTTTGGTTGGAAAAGGCCTTTAAGATCATTGATCGTTGTTCTCGGCTGCCATGGGCTCTCTCTGGGTCCATCCTCAAGGAGCGACCGCAGGGCCCGGGTGACAAATCACAGGTAACGCTGTTGTGGGGAGCGCGCACAGGCGGTAATGGAGTTGTAATGAATTAAGTGCTGCTAGAGTTGATGCAGGGCTGCAGTAATGAATGCGCGTGTGTTGTGGGGATTAGGGCACGGGTGTGATGAATATTGTCTATCAGGTGTGATAAAAAGCCTATCATCCCAATACATATTTTCAAAAACTAATTTAAGGCTGAAAGAGATTATTAAAAATGAGGAGAGGAAATTGTCTGGGATATATTTAGTCCCTTGCTAGGTAAGATGAATTCCAGGAGTCACAATTCTGCCTGTGGGGTGAAAAGGATGGATGCGGACACCATGGCGGCTCCTGATAAGACGAGGTTGAGGCAATCAGAGATCGGTCGGTGACAGAGCCCCTGTCTGGGGACCTGCTGCTGGGTCCCCGTGTGCCAGGTCCCCATGTTCCAAGTCCACCTCACAG